TACAGAGATGCCTGCGGGCAACCAAATAATAAATAAATAAATAAAATAAGAGAAGAAGAAATGAAATCAAACACTGAGAGTTTAATGATGTCCTTCAGCAGTCACGAATCAATATGTTTTTATCTCTTGCTGGAAAGGTTATCTTAAGGTTTCCTCATTTTAGTGGTATCATCCCTTTATTTATTTATTTTTAATTTTAATTTTTTTTTAAAGGAGTGAAGAAATGCAGAGTGCAGAGATAGCTGTATAACTGAATCTTTAAGAGTCCACAGAAACCACTTGATTGGAGTTGACAAACCTTTACAAATGTCTATTTACAGTATTGCATCTTTGTAGCAATTTGGTCTCTTTCAATAATCTAAGTGCCACATGAAGTTGTCCTATTGTTTCTACTGGATATAAATGCACTCTAGCAGATGCTGTGACATGAAGCAGCATTTCCTTTCCCTGAGACTCTAATTTCAGAATTGATTTAAAAGGACACATTGCATTTTGGCAGGGCAGGAGCTTTATTAAGTTGTGCTTGCGTATCTATCTATCTGTCTGTCTATCTCTCTCTCTTAGTCATCTAGTGCTGCTACAACAGAAATGCCACAAGTGGATGCCTTTAACAAAGAGAAATTTATTTCTTCACAGTAAAGTAGGCTAGAAGTCCAAATCCAGGGTGTCAGCTCCAGGGGACAGCTTTCTCTCTCTGTCGGCCTTCTCATTAATGTCCCCCCAGATTAGGAGCTTCTCTGCGCAGGGACCCCAAGTACAACGGACACACTCCACTCCTGGCACTGCTTTCTTGATGGTGTGAGGTCCCCCTGTCTCTCTGCTCTCTTCTCTCTTTTATATCTCAAGAGATTGTCTCAGGACACAGTATCTTGTAGATTGAGTCCTGCCTCACTAACACAGCTTGCCTTCCACCCTTCCTCATTAACATCATAGAGGCAGGATTTACAACATATAGGAAAATCACACAATACCGGGAATCATGGCCCAACAAAATTGATACACACATTTTTGGGGGGACATAATTCAATCCATGACACTATCTATCTATCATCTATTTATTTAGTGAGAGTTTTCCATGACTTTGATTTACTTAGCCCAGCCATTTAGCTTTAGGGAGGAAACTTAATTTTCTTACTGGAAAGAAACACACGAGCTAACAGGTGAGATCATTCACAGGAACTCTTTTCTTTTAGCCCAGTTGACTTTGTTATTATGTGTCATAATGAGAGTTACATAGAACCACCCAGAGTACCAGGGTATCCTGGAGTTTATTGACATAAACTAGATTCTCTGCTGGTCCATAAAGGAATTAGTCAGAGTCATGGTATCCTAGAAATGGATGGTACCTTGAACGTCTCCATGTCGAGGACTACCTGTGTTGTTATTAATACTGAAGGAGCCCTGGTGGTGTGGGGTACAGTGGTTAAGCGCTTGGCTGCTAACCGAAAGGTTGGTTATTCGACCTCACCAGCTGCTCTGCGGGAGAAAGATGTGGCAGTCTGCTTCTGTAAAGATTACAGCCTTGTAAACCCTATGGGGCAGTTCTGTTCTGTCCTACAGGATCTCTATGAGTTGGTATCGACTTAATGGCAACAGGTTTTAGATATGGCTTCTTATTCAGAGATTTATGATTGTGACATCTAAGGGGTTATCATACAGAGATAATATGACATTTACATAACATACTTTTCAACAGGAATATCCACCTCCACTTTCTAGAATATGACCCATAGAGATAGGAGACCCAATGTTAACCCTGGCTACTCATTTCAGTGACATAGAATTCTATGATAAATGACATTTAAAAATTGAAGGTGGGATTAGTAATGCCTCCGTGAGACTTTATTGCCGGGATGGATGAACCAGAGATAAAGTGTATCTCAGCTTAGATACTAGCTTATTTAAAGAGAATGGCTAGAAAAGGTTAAACTTCTTATCATACATATAGAAATAATAAATATGTTCACTTATTTTTTTCTGATGTATCAATTTTTAAAGGAAAGACACTATTTATAGTAAGACACTTCCTCTGTGGTTTCTAGGAACTTACCGTCTTCATATATTGTACTTTTGTATGTTCTCTGCCTGAAATGTCTTCACAAGCTGTTTACTTGGCAAACTCTACAAATTCTTAAAGATTCAGTTATATAGCTATCTCTGAAGACTTTTGGACAATCGCACACAGAGTTCATTATGCATCTCTTTCTTCTCTATGTCATCACTGTGCCTTGGTCAGCGCTGTCTTATTGTCTGGCCCACACAGTATTTATTTTAATTATTTCTTTACATTCCTCCCCTCTCTAATGATGAGATCCTTGTGGGGAGGGACAAAGTGCATTCATTTTTTATTGTATTCCCACCATCAAGCTCTGTACCTGGCATATCATCGTGACTCAATAAATACATATATATAAATGAATGTGGCCTAAACACCACACATATTGAATCAGTTTCCGTCTGTAGTTTTCCCTGATAAGTATAATCAACAAATTGGATGAATTTAAGCAGAGACTTAATATTTACTGACACCCTAGGATTATATAGGGATAGAAAGGAGGAAATGCAATGCAAATACTCTCATCGATAGCCTAATATAAAAGTAGTTTCTTAAATTGTCTCAATTATCTGTGCCTTAATACAGCTTTTCTGATTTTTGGAGCATTGGTGTATGCTCTTTTTCAACTGTTCTCTGGGAAGCAAGGCAATCACTGAGAAATTTCTTGAATCTATGCCTGGTTAGGGAAACTCTTGAGAATAGAAGGAATTTGATTCAAAAACAGATTTAGTACCATTCATGGGATGCATATTCTAATCACTATATACTATTTGTTTGTTTGTTTTAAATTCCACTGATTATTCCAGAAGGAAGCACATCAACACTATTAAAGTGAAATTATGGATTGCTCTGCTTAGGCATTTTTATTGGTTTTCTGAGAAGGGGTACCCCTATAGATGCAGACCTTGGCATAACCATAAATTACTAGAACATGGTAAAAATATTTTTATTACAAATCTGGGATGTAGTTTACCTTATGATATCATGAAATTTTAAAATCTGATATATATTTTAAGATAAAAATAATAGTCATCCTTTCATTTGTTTATTTGATAAATATTTCTTTGAGAATTAGTGATAAGGTATCATATTGGGCACTGTGGAAAACAGAACAATTTTACAGACATGGACAATTTAGAAACACAAATTAAGAAAAAAAAGACAAGAAGAAAGACCAGAAACATTGTATTTCCTTTTGACAGTTATCTTATTAGTTGTGGAAATGCTTAAGGGCAGCAGGATGATCCTTCCTGCTTCAAGAACACGGAATAACCTAAAGGAAAGACGGACATCCTTTCTCCTCTAATAAAAATCAAAACCATACTAAACAACCTTATCTCCACCATATTTATTTACTATACTTGAAAAAAAAATCTGTAAGTCATATACTTGAAGTACTATGAGAATAATAAAGGCATAATCCCTGCCATTATCATGCTTCTAAACTTGACTTGGGGGCATTGGTGGTTCAGTGGTAGAATTCTCCCCTGCCATGTGGGAGACCCGGGGTTTGATTCCTGGCCAATGCACCTCACACACAGCAACTATCCATCTGGCAGTGGAGGCTTGCCTGTTTCTATGATGCTGAACAAGTTTCAGGGAGCTTCTGGAGTAAAACAGACTAGGAAGAAAGGCCTGATGACCTACTTCCAAAAATCAGCTAATGAAAACTCTATGGATCGCAACAGTCTGATCTGCAACTGACAATGGGAATGGCATAGGACTAAGTAGCATTTTGTTCATTTGTGCATGGTGTCACCTTGAGTCGGAGGGTCAATTCCACTGCAGCTAACATCAACAAACGACTTCAGTGATTAGTACAACCGACAAATGCCTGGATCCTACAAATGGACATTTAACAGCAAGACCAAATGGCAGCAGTGCTTACCACCTATTCATGCCCTCCTGCAATCAATCAGACCGAACTTGACAAAACGACCAAATTGCAGTGCTTGTTTAAGAAGAATTGCACCAGTGTACTATTACCAAATGACATAGAAGTAATTTTACCACCAATACTTCAAGAAAATTTAGGCAGATTATATTGCTGGGCACTTTTTTCTTCTGTACACTATCACAATTAAATCTTACTTATCTGGTTGATATTCAAAATGATATACAGACTATGAGAAGATTTGCAGAGAAGAGGGCTGAGGGGGGCACAACATGTTGTTTTTACCCATTTGATTAGAATATGGTGAATAACCAGAGTTAACCATGTAATTTATTGTTGAAACCACGGCACTTTTCAAGTGAAAGGTGTTATTATTAATTATGCCAGGCAATGGGTGTAAATTTGGACTATCCCAGGAAAACTAGGATGTATGATCAACCTATGAATAATCAGCATACTAGATAATTTTGGGATGAGTTAAGCAGATCAGTGAAGTTAATTACTGCGTATAGGCTGTGTAAGGTAAAATTTTCAAAGGTTTTGACCACACAGTTGATTACCTAGTCTTTGAAAATCATATTACTGACTGAGAACAACTGCTCCACTGTATCTTTCTTGAAGATGAAGGGGCTTAAATGACACATATTTAGAGACTTTTTCCAAAGATTCTTTTCCTTTGTTTTTCTAAAACCTTTTATCATCTTAAACTCTTAGAGTAATAGAATTTCCTGATTAACAAGCAAGATGCACAAGGCTCACAGCCAAATGGAGGGACTATTATGCTAGGAGTCAAAGAACCTGGAATATGGTTTTGACTCTAATGCTACTGCCAGGTAGGACTTATCTTCACTCCGCCTTAATTTTTTCATTGATACAAAGGTGATAGGGTCACTTGTTAAATTGCTAGGGACAACGTAAGGATAAAAAAAAGAATGTTCACAGAAATATATTTTCTAAACTTTTGTAGCAATAAGGAAGGTAAAAGCAAAGGAAGAAAAGAATCTTAGAAAGCATGGAATTAAACTATGGTTAAGATAGTGCAAACAGACTCTGCAGCTAATTAAGCTGACTGTCCTCCTTCCTCGTGGGGGTCAGTGTGCAAACAGCAGCTTCCTCGGTAGTGTATGTAACCTGTCGCACGCATGGGTTGCCCTAAGGGACCTTGGAGACAGCCTTTTCCTGCTCTTTCATGTCCCTGACCTTGCTAATCTCTGCTGTCCCTGTTCTAGGCTCCAGACAGGTATGCGAGGTGCCTTTGGAAAACCCCAGGGTACAGTGGCCAGGGTCCACATTGGCCAGGTCATCATGTCCATCTGCACTAAGCTCCAAAACAAGGAGTATGTGATCAAGGCCCTACGCAGGGCCAAGTTCAAGTTCCCTGGGCACCAGAAGATCCACATCTCCAAGAAGTGGGGCTTTACCAAGTTTAATGCTGATAAATTTGAAGACATGGTGGCTGAAAAGCGCCTCATCCCCGATGGTTGTGGAGTTCGATACATCCCCAATCGTGGCCCCTTGGACAAGTGACAGGCCCTGCATTCATGAGGGCCTTGGCAGCACTGCCCCACTTGACCAGTGCCCGCCAGTAATTTGACCTTCCCATCTGAAAAAAAAATAGTGGAAAGAGAAATGTGGAAATAAAATGGAAGGAAAATTGTTCTCTTTGACCGGAAAACTTTCAACCCTTGATGATTTGCTAGCACTTTCAGAAAGCCTTCCCCAAATCCTCTAATTTCATCCTGAACTCCCCTTATAACGATTAATTGTTACTGCTTACTTATCTGTGTCCTCTACTAAGCTGCATGCCTTGCAAGGCCCAATTATATTTTATCTGTCATTAAACTGTACAGTATCTGACCCAAAGTAGATACTCAATATAGATTATTGACCAAATTAATTCCTATTAATGATAAATTAAGAGAGACAGAATAAGAGAGCTCTATTTATATTTGAATATAAATGTTCTCTATTTGGTCATTGCTAGATTCTGTTTTCTTTTGAATTTTATCTTTGACCTTTTTCAAAGATCCTTTTCCCACTAAAACCTGGAAGAGGAAGCTTATGAGAACTACTAAAAGTTCTATGAATTCTCACCATAGGATGCTTCTCCTCTGGAACACAGGAAGAACTAGTTTGGAAATTGAATGTGGATGTGGCTCTGTGCAAATCATATATTTACTTTCAGAGGTGTTAGCTCAGTTGGTGAGAGGACAGCACTAATAAGAGTAAGGTTGCAGATTTTATTAGATTTACACAGAGAAAAACTGCCGCAGAGTCACAGATTGTACCTCCAATTCCTGTGGGCAGTCTTGGGTCATAAAGAGAGTGCACATTACTCAACAGAAAATTTTAACAGTTTGGAAAACAAGCAGCTGATGGTAGATCTAATACATGAAAGACAGCAACATGTTATTACTTTTTAGAGCACTAAAACAAATTGTAGAGCCCTGGTGGCACAGTGGTTAACAGCTCAGCTGCTAACCAAAAGGTCAGCAGTTCAGATCCACCAGCCGGTCCTTAGAAACCCTATGGGGCAGTTCTACTGTTTTCTAAAGGGTCACTATATGGTCGCTATAGGGTCACTATGAGTCAGAACTGACCCAATGGCACCCAACAACAACAACAAAACAAATTGAACCCATCAAACAAATGTAAACTTAAGAAATGTGCTTTTGTCATCTGTCCCCCAGACCTTTGGGTCTATTTTCCACAGCTCTAAAATGAGCATGCTTAGAGAAGGACACTTTAAATCCAAATTCTTAGAATACATCCAATCATTTCTAGAACGTGTACTTGGGAGGAAGAAAATATGGCCATGTGGTATTAGTAATAGATTGACAAAAGGGCAAAAATCAATCTGAAAATCATCAGTAGTGATCATGCTTGACATTTGCAGGGTGATAGATTCAGGAAATATTTATGTATTGAAATAATGGTTTTCTTTGTGTAAATATGCTTTCCCACACACAAATAGCATTTCATTGTATGCGAAGCTTCTGTTTTTCCAATAAACATTGATTCATGGCTCACTACCTAACTTAATGCCAGAAAAAGAAAGTCATTTAAAAATATTTTTGACACATTCTATTATGTTAAATTCAGTTACTGGCCATCTGATTAGAATGTGGTAAACCAGTGGGATGCATTAAAAGATGAGGAAGGTAATGGAGACGTGTTAACAGGCATCTACAAGTTATTATGAAATGATACTTACTAAGTGCCCTTCTGCATATGGCAATGTTCTAATGTCATAGATGTTGCACATCCTGTGCTCAATCCATTTTTTTTTTTTTAATGAATATGTTCTCTGAGAAGGCTGATAAAAAGAACCAATTATTTTGACTGGGTTCTCAGATAACAAGAGAATTCAAAAGTGGAAGATACAGACAGGAAAGAAACTTTATACTAAACTCTCTTGCAGACTAGTTTCCTTTTGGGTGCAAGGTTTACTAACTTCATTCCCATTCTTTTTGGGACAGATACTGCAAATGTCCAGCTTGCTTTCTCAAAAATGTAACCAGAAGGCATTCTATAAAGCAAGTTGCATATGAGAAATAAGCATTTTAAAACAGACAATGTTTATGTATACAAGTTAATAATAAGACATCATTTAAATTAATGGATGTACTGTATAATATACAGTGGAAAATGACATGATAAAGTGAGCCTATCAAGAACATTGCAAATAAGCCTTTTGACTTGACATTCTTTCTATTTTTTTGCTTTGTGAGGAATTTACTTATCCTTATAACAGTGAAATAAGGACAAATATTGCATGTTTAAGTTCCATGGTTGAACATAATATTACAAATAATAGTATTACAAAGATGAAATAGTTATCATGCTGCTGTTAGCTGCCGTCAAGTTGGAACGTACTCATGATGACCCTATATACGGCATAATGAAATGTGCCCAGTCCTGTACCATCTTCATGATCTTTGGCATGTTTGAGTCAATTGCTGCAGCCATTCTGTAGTGTCTTCCAACCTAGAGGCTCATCTACCAGCACTGTATCTGACCATATTCTGTTGTGATTCATAGGGTTTTCATTAGCTAATATTTGGAAGTAGATTGCCTAATCTAAATCTGGAAACTTCACTGAAACCTGCCTACCATGAGTGGCCCTGCTGGTATTTGAAATACCAGTGGCATAGTTTCCAGCATCACAGCAACACACAAGCCATCACAGTACAACAATATGACAAATGGGTGGTAGAATAGTTATAATAGGCTATAATTAATATTTTTGTTAAAATTTCTAGAAGAGTCTTAAATTTGATATTTGAGATACCCTGCAGTTTCTGGCTATACTCTGAAAACAGCTCTGCCTGCTTGTCCAAGAAACATAGAGAAATAGAAAAATCATATTGAAAATTTTTAAGAATGCATACAGAAATTAATAGGATGTTTGCCATAGTAACAGTTCCAAAAACCACACATACATACACACACACATTCACATACACACAGACACAAACACACATGTACACACTCACAAACATACACATACACACTCACACACATTCACGCACACTCACACACACATTCACTCACACACACAAATACACATACATACATACACACTCACGCACACAACTCACTCTCATACACAGTCACTCTCACTCACATCGCTCTCCCAAATGACTCTGCTTTTTCTGGCTACCAGGAGTGAGCTCTGGGTGCCTAGGGGATCAGTAGGAAGGGAGCAAAAGTGCTACTTTGCTTAGGATATTTTAATCATGAGGGAATTCTTTTAGCAGAACAGATTCACCACATCTCATATAACATGTGGTGCTATATCACAGGTTCATGTTGGAGCCCTGACTTGTTTCTTCTTGACAGAAAAGTCTCTCTGAACATTTTAAAACCATGTAGGGTACATGGAAAATGTTTCGGAATGCTGTGTGTTAGTACCTATTGCTGAAGGGGATTCGGAGGTTAAGACACGTAGAGCGTTCTGAGGGACATGTTCTAGATAGTATAGTGAAAATAACATTAGCCAACTTTGGTTGGAAGCCAGACATCTGGGGCACAGTATTTAATTCTAGGAACAGTGTTTAAAGGTATGACTACACACATTATAAAGATGAGATTAGGGAAGATTAAGTCTCTTGCCAAGATCACAAAGCTATAGTTAGAGGTAGACAGGGATTTGAATCTTGGTCCACCTCATGTTAAAGTCTCAACTAGACAGATCTAGAGTTGAATTCTGCTTCTCTCACTCACTGGTTGTGTGAATTATGGCAGATTTCTTACCTTCGGTGAGGTAGGCCTTTATTTTCGCATCTTTAAAATGGAGATGATATTTACCTCACAGGGTTGCTGAGAAGTTAAATACTTGAGACAGGATATGTTAAAATGGTGAGCACAGAGTATGGTTCATAGAAGGCACTTTCCTCTATGGACCTGCCTCAAAGAAGCAGCTACTCGGTCAAGGCCTGAGCTAGTATCTGCTGGAGACATACTATTCATAAGATACTCTCCTCCCACAAAGTGTTGGCAATCTAGTAGGAGAGAGAGACAATAACTTATTATGAGATTGTGTTTAGACACTGACCCCAACATTTGAAACACATAAAAAAGAGATACTCTGTGTGACGGGGTGGAGGTATGTAAGGAGGATGCAGAGGTCCACCCACTCAGTCTTTCCAAGCCCCTCTGGCAGTCCTGAATCGCCTCATTGAACCCTGGGGCTCTGAAAACAGTTACTAGGCAAGACGATCTTTAGTGGACTTTCAAACATTATGTCCTGGTTTGTACTTTAGGTGGACAAATATCTACAAGAAAATTCACAACTATGATAAGAACCATAAAATATATGTCCATTCAGGCAAGAGAGAGATCACAGTTGCTTGTTTGCTGGAAATGGGAAGAAGAGGGTCAAGGAAGGTATTACAAAGAAGGTGGCTGTTACACAGGAATGGCTAGAATTTCAAGAGGCTGAAATCACCTGAGGAGGAAGAGAGGAATGAAATGTATTTAAAGCAGAAACATATCAAGAGGAAAGGCTAAACAAAAAAGAAAGAAAAGAAAAGAAAAAAATATGAAGCAGCCTGAAGAATTCCAAGTAACCTGACTTAACTAGGGCTTTGAGTATTATGTGTAGGAGATAGGAGAGATGGGCCTGGAAACCTAAGGCAGTAAAGCACTATGTTAAGAACGTGGGCTTTGGAG